TCACAGTTACTGAGTCACTATTACACAGTTCCTTGACTAACTTCGCTGCTTTCAGGATTGCTAAAATCTCTACTTGAAAACGCTGCAAATTTTATTTACTTTGTATGAGTACTTAATTTAAAATTGTTTCATAGAAAACTGCCACAGGTATGTTTCGGGTCTCCCTGATAACAAAAATATGACTTAATATGACTTAAGGAATAATCCGAAACTCAACATGCTCCTCAGTAGATTTCAGGGCTTTGTTCATGATGTTATTTTCGCTCTTTTTGAAATATCGAAAGAATTGATTCCACTACGACACAGATTTGAAACCCGGATTTATCATAATAATTGAGGCTATGGGGCATTTGTGGTGACCTAGTAAAACAAAATGAACACGAATTTAGAAAGCGATAAATAATGGAATAGTCAATCAATTCGGCTTGTGACTTCTAGCATTTAATCGGAGCAACGAAATGTAAATGGTAATCCGCGAGTTGTGTTAAAAAATAAAATTTATTCCGATACTAGGTGCATAAGGAATTATTTATAAAATTTTACAAGGCCTATATTGAAGGCTGAGCATTATTATTTCTGTATTCAGCTCTGCATATTTTCAAAGGCACAATAAACTGGTCATTTGCACAAAAAGCCTTAACTTATATTCTTTATAGATATCCAAAATCCGCTCAAGGTTCATTTTTTTAACAAAAACAAATTTATATTGTGCTACTGAAGAAGATAAAGATAGCCAACATCATTAAAATATATACCTTCAACGTTTTCTGGGGGTTTTTTCTGCTTTTAGTTTTTAAAACTTGTTTTTTTAGTAAACAATATCTATTTTATATTTTCATTGTCAAGGTTTTCAGCAAATAAATTCGGTTTTTTTTAAGATTTGTAAAATCTTTTTTTTGGTATGATATTTTTTCTTTCACAATTTCTTTTGATTTTTCGTAAAATATTTTATTTTTTTTCTTCACTCACGACGACCGTCTCTATAAAACGTTTTTATAAGGAGGATCAGCTTTCTAAGGTAAGCTGTCCCAAACCAAAGTTGGAGAATTAATTTTTCTTTAAAGAAGAGGTCTGTAAGCGTCGACAACTCGGTTACGACTAAGCGTGCACGGAGCCATCGAAAGACATTATCAATAGCTTTGAATTGGCTTATTAAATGGACTAGCACAGAAAAAATACAACAAATTAAAAAAAAACTGACGACAACAACGGCAGCAGCAGTTCTCCCCATCATATTATAAACGATGTGAACAAAATAAAGAAAACAAAAAATACGACAAAATACAGAAAACACAACAAAAATATAGCTTTTCCAAAGCACACCGATCGTCGTAATAGACAAAAGTGATCTATACAAAAACCACACACACGCCACACCATACAGGTTTCGGGGTCTATCGCTGTTGTTGTTGTTCTATGGAAATACAAAAATATGCAAATATATGTATGAGCATAAGGCGAGCGAACAACACATACAGATCAAATTGGGGGTCATCATTCTTAGATACGTCTAATATTTATTTATTTTTTTGGTTTCTATGGTCAGCCGATATAAGTGGTAGAACAAGAGATCGGTAGAATTCTCATAGTAGGGAAAAGTGATTAGAATTTAAGAAAGAGGGATTCCAAAGCATCTTGTTTGCAAGGACTCTATGAAGATATGCAATTTTTTTTACTGTGGCATTAACATTAAATTCCGATTTTGGATTTAGTGGTGAAGAGGATGCAAATTATCTTACTACTTAAACTCAATGATCTGAATCCAAGTTCATCCATGTTTTAAAGGTACATATATTCAGGATAAATAGCTTAAACCCAACATCATTCTATAAATAAACATGCTTATGTATGTACCGACTTTGAATCCTAACATAATAGTGCAACAGCATGCTGTGTATAGGACATCCATTCTTAAATATAAGTGCCTTAGCCTCGCCGATAACAATTAATGACATTGCCTCACATTGGCCACCTATTTTATTTCAGGTTGAAATATAAAAAAAAACACAAAATCTAATTAATAAATTCCTTATAACATTGAATCACAATTTCCTTGACTTACTCGTCAGGGCCTCATATTCGGTAATTAATATATGCATATTATGCGCATTTTTTTCAATTCAATTTATAACAGGGAATCTTCGATAATATGCATCATGAATGAATGGCCGGCCTACCACACAATGTCCACTTTTGTATACGACGGATAGATCTTGTCATTGTTGTTATTCTAATTCTTTGTCGTATATTAATTAAGTATACAAAGGTAGGGGAAAAGTCGAAACGTTTTCTTTTATGGAACAGGTTTTCAACAATTCTGACAGTTGAATAACTTACTTTAAATATCGAGTATGCTTAAGAATGACTAGACAGATTTCCATATAAATTTTAGATAAGGTAGTGTTATCTTTTCCTCAATCGCATTGATTTTTTTAAAGGATCTAATTTTAAAATACCGCTTTTTGCCAAGAGTTACCTAGGTTAGGTTATGTTACAAGATGCGATGCTGTCAAAAAAGCAGCCGCTCCACTGCAGTACATTGTGATTATTCTAAAAGTCGTTATGAAACAGAGAAGCTAAATGAAGAAAAGACGATGGCGATAGAAGAGTGCAATAAGTTAAATATTCCTAATTCAACCAGGTCAATTTCATAGCAAAGTTGTAAATGATTTTGAAGCTTATATTGGAGAAACAGATTAGCATATAACTTGAATCTCCCAAAATGTTTATAGCTTCTGCATCGACAAATATGTTCTATAATTTTTGTTTCCTCTTCATCCTCACATAGACGGCAAAATCTACCATTTTGAAAAATAAGATATGATTCTGCAGTGACCTGCTGTGAACTCTATGATTGTGCTTATCTCTTTTCAGTCCATAGAAATTAAGGATTTAGATATACGCTAAGGAATCACAAGCCTGATAAATTTCTTGAGGTTCTATACCTAGATTCCCCATACCATCTTGTTGTTACTTGGCCATAAAAGTATCTAAGTAGAGAGGTATAACAGGATCATTAATTGTTAAATCAATTGACTGCGATTCACATGGAGTAAATTCGTCAGAGCTACTTCATTTCTCTTAATATCACAATGACCTGGAAGCTAACAAAATTAACAAAGACAATCATGAACTACCCTAGAGTACCGACCAGATTGCTTTAAGTGCCGCTTTACCACCGACAAATATAGTCACGGGTACCGAGTCACTAGTATATAGTTCCTTGGCTAACTCCACTGCTTTCAGGATTGCTAAAATAACTGCTTGAAAAAAAGCTACAATTATTACATAGTCTGTATGAGTTCTTAACAGAAAATTCTTCACATAAAACTTCCGCACCTGTGCCTTCTTCCATCCTTGAAGCTCACCCTCCCAGGACTCACTGCCTGGTAATGTTAAATTCATCAAAATTAATTTATGTGATGATAATCTATTCTGGTATGGGGTATGGTAAAGTAACTTGAATTTCTATTGTGACAGTATAATATTTTTTCTAGTTACTTTTCACTCTAGGAATATGGCCAAGACCCTCTTTAAAAAATTAATAAAATTTATTAAAAATTCCAGATTTAACTACGTTATTTGTTGTGTATTAAATTTCCTTCCTCGTGGAGAACATTTTTGGCGTACATTAACCCACTTAATACGAGTAGTCGTCTCTAAGTTCATTGTTACCAGATTTCCTTTCAACACATTTTTAAGGTTGCGTGGTTATCTGTCAAGTTAACTTTGCAAAAAAAGAATACTATAGTTATTACGGTTATTTACACCATTAGATATTTAATTTATTTAAAACCTGGACACAAGCCCCTTGTAATTAATTAAAATTCATTAAACATTTCCGGCACTACGTCATATGTGTCAATATCCCTATTTTACACTGTTCTGTTTTCCCCCCAACTAAAAAAAGACAACACGAATAACCGTAACACAATTTGCTCTGAGAAATTCTCTATTTGTCATTTGGGGCTCGCTCTTTGTCACAAAATAACATAACAAAACAGAAGATAACAAGCCGGCAGCGGCTGGCTTTGACAAGTTGTTTGTATCACGCCGCCGTCTGTCATACATACATTTCTCGTTAACACGTTGATGTTTAGTATTTTCCCCTAAGGGCTCCCACCACTTCCCCCTTTAAACAAAAAAGCAACAACAAAACAACGCTATTCTATATCGCTCAGTAAAATTACTACACCCATACTAGTATATGGAATATGGCGCGAGCTCTTACATCCAATAGAAATCCAAGGTCAGTATATCAGGGGAGAACACGCAATGTTTCACACTCCAACCAAAGAGCAAGAGAGTGAAAGATGAGAGATTTTTTGCGATGGGCAAATGAAGAGAAAGGAAGAAGCAAGTTGTATTTTGTTAGGGAACATGGGCAGAGACATTTTTTATTCATATGTTGATGGGCTGTGAATAGAATAATTAAAAAGAAAATGAGAATTTGTTTAAGTAAAAAAGCAAAAATATTCACGTTTCTTTTTTTTTCTTAATTCAAAGTCAGGGTTTAGGTTTAAAACTAAAACCGGTATTTGAATGTTTACATTCTGTTATCAGTTTCCTATTGCATAATAGAATAGTGTGTTGTGTGTATGTATGTTGTATGAATTGAACGTATCCTTCTTATGTGTCCTTTAAGTCAAAGGAATCCTTAAAAATAATAACCAGGAAGACGCCAATGTCAACATATGCAATTGCGGATTTGTAATGGATTTTTGTTTTCTAATAAGAGGGTTAATCACCCCTCTCTCTCTCATGGCTACACCAGCCGACCGACCGACCAACCGCCTAAGACAAAAAATACGTATGCCACAGCAACACACAAAACACATACCAAACATCACCTGATGTTACGCCTCCTTATGGTCTGAGGTTTAATATAAAAAAATGCTTTTGCTTTTTTTTGAATATTTTTGACAACAAAAATATAAATAAATAAAAAATAAACAAAACATGATGTCTGATTTTGTAAAGCCACACACCACACTACATACCAGTTTCCATATTTGCAAAAAAATCCAAAATCCCGTTAATTAAGAGTTGGTTGTATTTCTTCAAGTGAGTGTGGACAAGAAAATCCAGCACTTTTTTTTATTTCATGAAATGGTTGCAGGTCTTCTTCGTTGGCTTGTAATTTTCCAAATTTCTTTTTCTTTCACTTTGCACAATGTTTTCTTTTTTTCTCCTTTCTTTTGGGTTTCCTTATTTTTGTATTTATTTTAATTATTAATTAATTTAACACTGCATGTTCACACACAACAGTTCAAGTTTATTTTTTCTTATATTTTGTCTTCAGTGAAAATAGTTTACAATTCTTCTTCAACTACTGCTCTTCTCTTATAAAGAAAACAAAACTAACTTCCGCGAATTTTTAACTGGTGCTTTCTGTTTCTTTTCACTCAACAGAACCCGAGTCTATGGTTTGCCACTATGACAATTTGTCAAAGTTACTCAAAACACAACACAGTGTTGAGTTGAAGGGGATAGTTTGACAGGGTCGCAACCAATAAAAATTGAAAAACGTTCCACTTGCTAACGAATGGGAGAGAAGACAAAATGGCCGATAATGAAGTACTCAAAGTGGCATAACGAAATATTTACGAATGAGGTGGGATGGAGGAGTAAATGAGAACCGCATTGTTACACACACAGACTCTGTCCGTGTGGATGCCTCAGTGTTGAGTGGAGTCCAGTGTTGCCAGTTTAGGGGATAATTGGAGATTTCTGTTTGAAAATGGGGATTAGTTTTTTTGGTTTGGGGAACTGTGTTTTTCACCGTAGTGCTAATCTCTGTAGTTTCCATGATGTCTACCTCGTGTGACAAGGGCGAGTAATCCCAGAGCTGATTCGGGATGCTCTCCTGAATAAGCGGAAGGAGCCGGTTTCCTTAATTAAGGGTTATGAGCCTCTTACCATGGCAAATACTTGTCATTTAAGCCTAAAAAGCTTGTTGAGGTTCCCAGGTATCAACAAGGTTCCGTTCTAATACAGTCGGGACCCTGACTGCAAACCAGGGATGCACGCCCTTGCACTCTAGCGGTCAGCTCAACTCACACGGATTCTTACGCTCATTTGTTTAGTCGTTGTTGAAACGTCAACAAGTAAACATGTCTATGCTGGTGCGCATCATATTGCGACCAAACTGTCAAACATGTACGTTTGGTCGGTGTGAAGCTGATATGCCACAAATGAATCAACAAAGCTTTATTTCGAATTTGGCTTTTAAAGAATGAAGAAGGTCAGCGATAGTGACGACGCAAAAAAGACCGATCAATTTTACTCTCCCTCTCCCGCTGATTGTCCGCGACTGTTTATTTGTTATTCACAGCTATTCTTTAATAAATCCAATATCGCAAGAATCTACTAAATTTTACTATTCACTTCGATATCATAAAGGAAAATCCGTTATCGTAGTAAAAAGTAGTAGATTCTTGCAGTACGGGAACAGATCAATAGACACAACGTCACATATGTGGTCACGGTCAGTAGTAAGTCAATAGTTTGTAGATATAGACACAGGGTCATATATGTCACTTGTAAATCTTACATGTTTTCTTTTGTCAACATTTTTTTTCTTCATAAATTACTTAGTCCTGATTTAGATTAGGCGAGTTTACTTGCGGCAATTCTTATCGCTCTCTTTTGAACTTGCTTCATGCGTCTACAAATCAATTCCGTTTCTATTTTTTTCTGTTTTGACATTTTGTTAAAGTTTTTTTTTTGTGGAAAACAAATTAAACAATACAAGATTACAGAATGAAAGAAAGAATGAATTAAAAAATAAAGTCCATGTAATGAAGTTTTTTTAATCGCTCATGGCCCTTTGGGCTAAAATCTCGTTTATGAAAAAAATACCCTTATCGAAAATATTGTTGATTGTATTGGTCAAGCGATTGACTTAGATTCGGACGACAGTGACAAAGAGAGCTATGAGGGAAGCCATGGCTCTCTTAAAAGACGAAGTGTCGTACAAAAATTATTTAAAGAGTGACTGGAGAGCAATTTAAATTTGTTATTAAACTTAGTACAACAGGATCGCGCGTTCCAATACAAAAATGAAGCACGCAATTCCAGCAGCTGAAAAATTAGCATTGACTTTAAGGTTCCTCGCTAGTGGTGAGTTATCACATATCTAATCGTTGTTTTTAATAATAATTGTTTGTACAGGAGAGACTTTTCAAAGTCTTGACTATCAAACTCGCTTATCTAAGTCATCCATTTGTCTTATAATACCGGAGGTATGCGAAGCGCTGCTAAATCCAACTGATAGGTTCATATTTAAATGTATTTATCTTGATGAAAATTTTCGAATAATTTATCTTTATAGTTTTTTTTATTCCACACAGTTTCCCAATTGCCCTTTGGATTGGGAATCCATTGCAAAAGAATTTGCCATAAAATGGCAATTCCTAAACTGCCTAGGTGCGGGAACAGGCCAAATAATGACAACCCCTTTTTTAATTTGGAACTCATATATGTCCCAATTTAGATTAGGCGAGTTTATTTGCGGCAAGTCTTGGTTTATAGGAGAGAGGGGAATAGAAATTGAAAAAAATGTTTGTACCGGTTTTTTTTTGGTAATTTGTTTTGTGTATATTTTTTGAAGTGTTAGTAATTTGAAATACGAATGGTCACAAAATGTCATAAAAAAATATATTTTTGAAACCGAATTTCCTTGTATAGACGCATGATGCAAGTTCAAAAGAGAACGATAAGAATTGCCACAAGTAAGCTCGCCTAATCTAAATCAGGACTATCAATTTCAAATTGTTTGAAAAATAAAATCCATAAAATTTGTCGATTGGCATATTTTTTAAAAAATTAAAAATGGAGGAAGGAGGATATTTTCATTTATATTTTGAAAGCTGAATGTTGCAAAAGTAAAATTATACCTGCATTACAATTCCTTGTACCATGTATGGAAAATTAAATTGACCCATTTTTTTTTTTGGTCAAAACTAAAGCAACTTTTTGATTTTTTTCTATAATACGTAAATTTAGCTAGTAATTGACAGCGTGGCCACTATTTTTAATTACGGCAGCACACCTACGAGGAATTGAATCTATAATTTCAATTTTTTATCATCTGTTTGTTTTTTCATACATTTGTATATATTTCAAAGAGATAACAAACAAATATTTTTTACGTGATTAATGTAATTTCTGTTGCTTTTTATTACGTTGACATTGTACCGGATTTATTTAACACAGTGGATTTAAATTGTCAATTCCTTCGCACACTTATTAAATAGATCCTCATAAAGTAGGTTAACCCTCCTTAAAGTTCTAATGTATATGTCGTTTTAGGGCGTATTTCTGGATTTTATGGAATACATGTTTATTATGGAAAAATTCGATCATCATCCAATGACCAATGTCCTAACAGGCAAAAACAGAAAAATAATACTTTCAAAATTTTTAAATTAAACAGCTGTTTTTGGTTAATACAGTTTGAAAAGCACTAATACTTGCCACTGTGCTGCTTTTTTACAGAGTCAACGGCGTTAACTTTATACAGTCGACTGTGCAACAATTCGATAACACGATTAGCGGTCAAATCGATATTGATATCAATATTTTCCCGGTGTTTTTTGTTTACTTTGCAAAATAATATTGAAATTTGCTGAATTTGTGCTATTAAGAATTAAACAATAATAAAAAAGAATGTTTGAAGTTGAGCCCATTATTGTTGATCATAAAGATGTTATACACGATGTCGTATTCGATTATTACGGCCGCAGAATGGCAACATGTTCCAGCGATCAAACAGTAAAGGTATGCAGCATTGTGTGTGAATGTTTGCCGTGTTTGGCATGCCATTCAGTATTCAGTTCATTGTTTTCAATCATCTATCCCCTTTCAGATATGGGATGAAAATGAACAAGGCAAATGGTCGGTGACATCAAGTTGGAAGGCACACTCGGGTTCAATATGGCGTGTATCGTGGGCTCATCCAGAATTTGGTCAAGTTTTGGCCACGTGCTCTTTTGACAGAACTGCCTCCGTATGGGAAGAGGTATTGGGTGAAAAAGTTGGCGGCACAATGACTCCAGCTCGTCGCTGGGTCAAACGTACCATCCTCGTTGATTCTCGTACAAGTGTCACGGACGTTGAATTTGCACCGAAATATTTGGGTTTACTACTGGCCACAGCTTCGGCCGACGGTGTTATACGTATCTATGAAGCTCCCGATATTATGAATTTAAGTCAATGGTCGGTGCAACATGAAATCACAAATAAATTGCCACTGAGTTGTTTATCGTGGAATACGTCAATGTATATGTTGTCGTCACAATTGTTGGCTGTAAGTTGCTGTTGTTGTTATCTTATTTGTTTGCAGAAATGTTAATCTTATTTGTTTGTGTGTTGTTTTAGGCTGGCAGCGATGAAACGGCCACAGCAACGGGTAAAGTTTTTATTTTCGCCTACAGTGAAAATGCCCGCAAATGTGTTAAGGTCGATACAATTAATGACATCACGGATCCTGTTACCGATTTAGCATTTGCCCCGAATGCAGGTCGAAGCTTCCATATGCTGGCTGTGGCTAGTAAAGATTTGTATATTGTTAATATTCGTGGAACAAGGTAAGTACATAATAATTATTCAGCGGTTGTTTCACTCGGATATTTTTCACGTATCGAACTGAGATTTTCGTTTAATGAATACGATGAATGACTTATTGTAGGTCTCTTTTGAAGGGGGAGAGAAAATTTAGTTAAATAGGGATTCATTTTTGTATACAGTCCAGTGAAGACTAGAGATTTTTATTGTTGAATGTTTGTACTATAAAATAACGTAGGATTTTTCTTTTCCCACCTGTAAGATTGGGTGAGATTACGGGTTTTATATGAATAAATAGAGCTTTCACTCCTCTGAGAATATCCCTGAGAAAAATAATAAACAGGTATATTAACATTGGTTCTTCGAGTCGAATCAGTGACGGATTGTGGAGGAAATTGGTGCTGAAGAATTTCCTAAAAATGTAAAAGAGATTCTGTCAGTTTGCTGGAGAATTTACACGGAATAAAAAACAGCTGAGTCAAAGAGAGGCTATGACAAGGAATAATGCGGTGCCGGAGAACGAGCTTCAGTTCTGGGAACGGAAGGTGCATAACGATGACGTGAGGCTATGAGGTTTTATTCCAGAAAATACGCATCGTGCAAAGGCTTAACATCGACCAAACTTGATCTGGAGACAGCAAACAAGATATAAACAATAGAGCATGTAATCCGAACAATTAAGAAAACATTGACATAATGTTGGAAGACATGGATTAGTTTCAAAAGAGCTGTTAGAGAGGGAAAATTGCAGGAGAGCTTAGGCAAGTCCAACAATTAGCTGTGAAACAAATGGAATTCCATGTTATGATAACAACCATTCTGACGAGGGACAACAAATACTGTCTACGATGCAAGAGTCAAAAAAAAAAAAAAAAAAAATCTTGAGTCAATGGAATGCTACGACAAAAAAGAAGGCGGTGACGGAATGCTACGACAAAAAAGAAGGCAGGACGAAGACGTGAGGCTATGGGGTTTTATTCTGGGAAAGACAAATTGTGCACATGTTCGGCTCCCATTAAACTTCATCCATTTTATGATTTCTACGTTAGAATAATATGATATGATAAAAAATAATTAGTATGGAAATGTGCTATACAATAAGAACCCAAAATACAAAATTACAGCCAATTCCGTTTAAAAAACGTGTCCAAAAAAAAATTCCAAAATACCGAATATTAAAGGATTTTCCTTTATATGGGGCAACACTGAAACTGGGGTCAATATGAATAAATATTTGGTACGAATATGTTTAATTCAATAATAACCAAAAATACCATATTGTACTCAATTCGGTTGAAAAACGACTTCAAAATCCCCAACATACCGAATATTCGGGAGTACCGTTATATGGGGGATGCACCAAAACGTGGACCGATATATCCCACTTGCAGCAGCAAAATCCTATAAATATCTTTGCAAAATTTCAGAGCTCTATCTGAAATATTGCGGTCACTATCGTGATATCAACAGACAGACGGACGAACAGATATTCGTAAATTTACATAGAATTTTAATCTAATCAAGAATATATATACTTTGTGGGGTCTCCGGTGAATATTTCGTGGTGTTGCAAACGGATGAGCCATTACTTGGCTCGCTGGGCATCCTCATCCACTCTCACAATATGACCTAGCCAACGTTGTTGCTGCAGCTCGATCCCGTCTGGCTATGTCGATGTCTGAGAATAGATGGTATAGCTCATGGTTCATTCGACGAAGATATTCACCGTCGACGCAGATCTACCTGAGAAAAGCTGCCTCATCTGCTTGCGCAAGTACCTATGCTTCATATCCATACAACAGCACGGATAATATCAGCGTCTTGTAGAGTGTGAGTTTGGTCTGGCGAGTGGTGCCCTTGCTTTTGAGTGGCTTACTCAGACCATAGTAGCAGCTGTTGGCCAACAATATTCTCCTCCGGATGTTATTAGTTTTGTGTATGGCGATACCGAGGTATAGGAAATCTTTGACTACCTCAAAGCTGTAGTTTTCAAGTTCCACAGTTGGTCCGAGTCTACTGGACGTTTTGCGCGTTGATAACATCAGCTTGGTCTTCTCGCCATTTACTACCAGTACCACTTTTACAGACACCTTCTCAATTCGTTCAAAGGTGGCTATTACCGCTCGCAATGTCCGACCCATTGTACCGATGTTGCTTGGTATACATAGTGCCCTTTCTGTTCACCTTTACACCTCGTATGGCCTTTTCCAGTAAGATGTTAAAAAGATCACGCGACAAAATGTCACCTTGTCTGAATCCTCTTTCGGTATTAAAGGGCTGCGATAGGTCTTTTCCGACTTTAACTGTTGATCTTGTGCCAGTTAAAGTTATCCTGCATAGCCGAATTAATTGTGCATGAATGCTGAACGCAGACATGGTTTTAAACCTCTCTGAACGGACTGGGTTGTCGAATGCGGCTTTATTGTAGACGAATAGTTGGAATGTGTCGATGTGGGTCTTTTCCAGGATCTGGCACAAAGTGAAAATCTGGTCAATGGTGGATTTGGCATGCTGTATCCGCATTGATATGGTTCTATAATGTCATTGACCATTGGTTTCAGTCGCACACACACAGCACATTGAATAGCACTTTATATGCGATGGGAAGAAGACTAATTCCTCTATAGTTGGCAAATATCGTCTTGTCGGCACCTTCTGCTTTATTGTTCTTCAGCCGATTAATCTTATCTAGGTGGTATATAATATATACCACCATCTATTATTGATTGATCTTCTTCGCCGTTACTATTTGATACCAGAGGTATTCCAAATGCTCTTTTCAGATCCTCAAAACGCTGTCTGTATCTGTTACCAGGTTTCCTTCTTCATCTCAACAGGAGAATGTGCCAGAACCAAGCCTTCGGTTTGGTGTTTTACTCGTGGGTAAAATTTCCGGACTTCATTCTGACTCCTGTACATCTCGATTTGCTCGCGCTCACGTTTTTCTTCTTTCTCTTGAAAATAGTTTCTCTTCTCTTCATTCCTTCTGATAATTCTCTCTTGCGTTGCGTGTTGCTACAGTTTGAAAAGTTGGCCTATACGCGGCGTTTTTCATCCCACTGGTTTCTTAATGGTGTTCTATGGTACCCAAGTGTTGCTTATGCTGCGGTTTGTAGGAAGAGGTTTGGTAAAACTCTGTTAGCAGTCTAAATAACTACTCGGTTTGCCGATCAGAAATAGCTTATCAACAGGCATTGAAACTATAGACTTATTTTACAAACATAGCATCAAACCCAACATTAAAATAAATTATAATAACCTAAAATAAAGCTTAGGATTATAATTACAACTACAAACATTTTCAGGATTATTAAAATTTTTTATCATTATTATTATTTTCAGTGATGCCACCGGCACCTCCAAACTAGATATACAAACAGTTAAACACACCGATCACAATTGTCCAGTGTGGCGTGTATGCTGGAACATGTTGGCCACCATGTTGATTTCGACCGGTGATGATGGTTGTGTACGGATATGGAGAAGTAAGATGCAAATACCTCCCCTCCATTCAAGATAACAAATAATAACTTTTTCGATTTTTTATTTCCAGTGAATTATAGCAAAAAATGGAAATGTGCTGCTGTGCTAAAAGCTGAGGGTTCAGGTCCCTCATATGAACCGGCATTGAATTCACCTAGTTTTTCTAGTTCGGCAGCAGCAACAGTAAAATACTATAAAAAGGGTATCATAAGTAATCCCAATCAAGTGCCATGGCATTGAAAAAAAAAATTCAGTTTCCCCCGTCAAAGAGACGAAGGGGAGATGTCTAAGCTATTCAATGAATAAAGTTATATCTAGTTTTCTTTTTTTGTTTTACGTCGTTCTATTTTTTTGTAATAAAATCCATATATTTTTGAAAGAAAAAAAAAAAACCATCAACGAATGATTTATATTCCAACACAATGAATCCAAAATGTGTTCAAATGCAAACAAATAAAACCAATATTGATTATTTTATAGCTATCAAAGCAACAACAGCAGCAAAAATATATCAAAATATAATCACATATGAATCGGATGTGTGCAATAACAATTGCACAACATGTTAATTGGGATAGGGGTAGTCAGACAGAAAGCCAGCCAGTCAGTCATCTACCTTTATGGCATTATCATATGTGCATATATTAAGACACACATATAAACAACGTATGCATGCATGAATGTTTGTGCATATGTAGATTTATCACATCACATGAATTACCTTTGCCACCAACAACACTGAACATTTTAATGAACCATTAATTTTTGTTCTCAATAAATATTCTAATCGAATTATGCACTCAACCGTAAAACAATCCACAAACACACACAATTGATGTTCATTCACCAGTTAATGGGACAGAGCCGACGACATTACCGCAAAAATACAAATCAATTTAATTTTGGTGTGAGCTCGTTGTTATTTTTTACCTTTTTTTCGACGAGCGGTAAAATTGTACACGAGCCATTGGGCCAGGATAATGTAAACAACGAGGACAACAAGAACAATGGAAATATCAAAATGCAATCGCAATAATGACAAACATATGATTATTAAACGATGTGGATGATGATGATAGCCTGAAATCAACCCCCATTGCCTGTATTCTATATGGCTGGGAAAGAAGAGAAATCTTATTGGATTCACAAGGGTCTATCAGGTTAAAATCACCATCATCATCCTCATCAAACACAAAAAATATGTTTGTGTGTAATATGAGTAGCATTGCTGTTATTTTTTGCCTGTTGATAGCACCAGCGCATTTTTTGTTGTACACAATCCTCTTGTCATTTGTATTTCGCATGAGAACAATCGTGGTAGTCGATTGTGTTTGGGACAGTGGTTAAAATGTGTAAATTATTTAAGGGTTGAGATGTGTTATTAAAGAAGTACTGACATGTCATAGAAAGACAGGTTTGGGGAGATTTTCCCACAGAAGAGCCGAGAGGTATTTTATAGAAAACTGAAAGGTATTTTTATCGAATAAATGACAAGTATTTCTTTAGAATAATTGAAAGTTATTTCTAAAGAATACCTTTGAGTTCTTCCTGTAGAAGCCATAAGTAGTTTTATTAAAAAACTTGAGAGGTATTCCTTTAGAAAATTTAAAAATCCTGCCTATAGAAACTTGACAGGATTTCCTTATAAAATACTTATTAGATACCTAAGAGGTCTTCCAATAGAGGGGGTAGAAAACCTGTGAAGTATTTCCATAAACGTCGTTTTAAAAAACGTACAGGAGAACTGAAATGTCTTCCTATGAAATATCATAAATTAAACCCCTTAGCGGGCTTCATGTAGATGAACTGAGAGGTTTTGCTATAGAAGACATGTGAGGCCTTCGATGAAAACTACGATAACAATTTTTCCTTTATGATATCGACAAAAATTAAAAAACAAATTCTAGCAATACGGGACCAGATCAATAGAAGACACCAGAGGTCATTTTGTAGAAGATTAGTAAGGTCTTCCTATAGTTGAGTTATTCCTACTATAGGAGACCTGTGAGTTCTTCCTATACTTCTTACGCATAATCTGGTCCTATAGGTAACTATATGGTCTTCCTATAGGTGATCTAGGGATATTCCTATAGAATACCTCCTATAAAAGACCTTCTAGGTCTTAGTCCTGATTTATATTAGGCGAGTTTACTTGCGGCAATTTTTATCGTTCTCTTTTGAACTTGCTCCATGCGTCTATACAAGGCAATTCGGTTTCCAATATATTTTTTTATTTGTTGTTTTTTCACATTTAAATATATATAAAATGTCAACAAATATGAAATACACAAAACGAATTGCCAGAAAATTGTCGGTACGAGCAATTTTTTTTCATTTCTATACCCCTTGCCCCTCTCTCCTACAAACAAAGACTTGCCGCAAGTAAACTCGAATAATCTAAATCAAGTCTTATTTAGCTGACTCGAGACAGAATATTTGTTCCATAAGCCGAGCTTAACAAAGATTTCCAGGCGCGTCGGTCTTTCGCGCAGCTCTTCCAATTTGAAAGACCATGTTTCGAAATGTTCTCGGCGATATTCATCGTCAACGCAGAATTTTTCTCTCAAACACTCCAAGAGCTACCTCATCTGTTTGCATAAGTACCCATGCTTCAGATCCATACACCAACAGCGACAGGTAGTATCAGCGTGTTGTAGAGTGTGAGTTTGGTCTGACGAGAAGTGGCCTTATTTATAAATTGCTTACATAGACCATATTAGCATCTGTTAGCCAACACTATCCTTCTCCGAATTTCAAAACTGATGTCATTAGTTTTATTTATGGCGGTACCAAGGTATATAACATGTTTGACTACCTCGAAGCTAGTTCTCAAGTTCCACAGTTGGCCCGAGTCTATTGGACGTCTTGCCCGTTGATACCATCAGCTTGGTCTTCTCGCCATTTACTGCCAGACCCACATTGGCAGACTACTTCATGTGTTGTTTGGTGTACAGAGTGCCATTACTGTTCACCTTTGCATCTCGTATGACCTTTTCCGGCAAGATAACACCCAAAAGATCACACGGCAAACTGTCACCTTATCTGAATCCTCTTTCTGTATTGAAGGGTTCCGAGAGTTCATTTCCGACTTTAACTGCTGATCGTGTGTCAGTTGAAGTTATCCTGCATAGCTGTATTAATTTTACAGGAATGCCGAACGCAGACATGGCTTTAAACACCTCTGAACGGATAAGGCTATCGAATGCGGATTTATAGTCGACGAATAGATGGAATGTGTCGATGTGTTCAGAGTAAAAATCTGGTCTATGGTGGATTTGCCAGGTCTGAAACCGCATTGATACGATCCAATAATATCATTGACCATTGGCTTCAGTCGTTCACACTTTACACTGGATAGTACTTCTATAGTTGACACATATCGTCTTATCTTCTTATTTGTGCACGGGACACAGGATGCTGAGGTTCCAATCGTTGGGCATGCATTCCTCTAGCCAAATTGTACTAATCAGCTGGTGCATGCTCCTTACCACCAGTCTTGAATAGTTCGGTTAATAGCCCATCGGCACCTGCTGCTTTATTAATCTTCAACCGATTGATTGCTATTCTGACCTCATCTTGGCTAGGTGGTATACACTCTATACCGTCATCTCTTATTGGTTCTGGGTATCATCTTCACCGCCACTATTTCAAAATGCTGCTTTCAGACCCTCAACATGAATTAGTCGCGGTGTGGGGTGAGATCAATTGTGACAAACATTGCATTGTACTGAGGTGGAATTAGCAGCGATGTGTAGATGACATAACCAGACATCAGGGCCTGGGTTTTGTTCAATGCCGGCACGAATTCGAACAATTGCGAGCAAAACTGCCGACATGATCTTCGCTGGGTTGACAATCCCTGGTTGAGTCGAACTGTGGTCGTTCATGAGAGTAGATCCGATTGTCCTGTGAACGAGGTTTCTGTTGGGAGATTGTGGTAGAGCTCCGTGTACCGAGTTGGGATCCGAGAGCCGGTATGTACAAACAGTTGCCTTGGGATTGGTCACAAAGTATACAAACAGGCCTTCTAACAATTCTGTAGAACACCAAATGATTTTCTTTATAGAGATTCCAGACCCAAGAGGTGTTGTATCCACTGTGACAAAAATATGAATGAATTAAAAACAATCAACTGACATTTTGAAGAAACTTTTGTTTGCTTTATAATGTCCAATTGGAAATTGAATAATTTTCCCGGAGGTCTCTGAGGGTTGAGTGTAGTTAGGATTTGATGGGAATGTTTTGTTGTTCTTCTTGGCTAAGGTTAAGCATTAATAGTTTGCTTTTATCCTGTTCGTCGGTTATATTCCCATTGCCAAGGCAGTTGATGGCAAACGGTTTAAGGGTGGTAATGGCAATATGGTGGTTGGTTTAGTTGGTTTCAGATTGGTCTAGTTTATTCCCATTGACAATATTGGTGTTCTTGTTGTTGTTGTACTGTTGATTGCATTGAACGTCGGCGTGGGAAGTCATTTCAATTTTAACTCTCACGTGCTATTGTTTATTATTACTAACTGACTGACTGAGTGCCTTCCTTGGAGAACGAATAAGTGGCTGACTGGCTGGTGGGTTGTTTTGGCTTTTCTTGAGAATATTTCATAATTTTGTGTTTTTGTTTTTTTTTTTTGAAAACCATTAAAAATTACCCTTAATGGATTTTTTTTTTTTTTTGAAATTTGCAAAAAAGTGACATGGCTGGTATCCAATAAAAATAATATTCTATTTGGAAATTTTCTTGTTAAGAGAGAATGTATTTTTATATTGCTTGTGAGTTGACTTGGGAGTTTTGTGGGATTTCCTTATTGAATTGCAACGCAATAAAAGTTCATATCTTCCCGCCCCACATGTGGAGTATGGTCTATCCTTCCGGTGTCAATCGAAAGATAAGTGAAAAGTTCTGCACAGTTTATAGCTATGCGGAAATTTGTGTTCTCAGCAATGTCCGTTTCAATTTAATGTGACCATCGTCATATTTGATATTCATGTTAGTAAAGCGGCGGGTGGTCCTATGTGTAGTACAGGGACATTGCAGTGAATATATTTATGAAGGAAGTATATAAATTGTTCCCTAGAGAGCACATAAAATCTCGAACATTACTTGTGAATTTTTTTATATTATTTATATCTCGACTTTTTAGAATCATTCCGAAAAAGTCGATTTAAAACTTTTGAGTTTTTGGAATTTCCATTTTTGTTCCGTTATGTTGGAACTCTTAAGTGATATGTATTACAATTACGTATAACTAA